CCAAGGTGTCATGTGGGGTGCTTCTTCAGATGGTCCCATCAATCTGGTATGCCAGAACGGCTGACCTTGACTGCTATCAACACTCTCTGCAGCTGCTGCGAAGATAGTGAGAATTTTCCTCCCTTTCATGAGACATCTCCACCAGCTCACTTCCCCCCTCCCAAATACCTATAATACCTCCCCCCTCCCGTTATTATGGCAGCTGAAAACAACCAAGCATCGTAGAGGCTGATACCCAGTACTCTTCAATATCTTCATAAACGACTTAAAGAAATAGAAGGGGAACTTACCAAATTTGCGAATAATACTAAGTTGGCAGGAATAGCCAACACCCTAGATGATAGGCTCAAGATCTTGACAGACTTGAACATTGGGCCCTATCTAACCAAATGAAATTCAGTGTAGAGAAAAGTAGAGTCTTACACTTAGGCAAGAAAAATCAAAAGTACACATATAGACTGGGTGAAACCAGGCTTAATAGCAGTAACTGTGAATGGGAATCTTAGTGAATAAGCAATTAAATATAAGCTAACAGTGTGCAGTGGCAGCCAAAAAAGTCAATGCAATCCTAAATTGCCTTAACAGAGGGATACAATCAAGATAAAGTGAGATACTAATACCATTCTATAAAGCCTTAGTAAGACCACACCTAGAATACTGCATCCAGTTTTGGTTATCATACTATAAGAAAGCTGTTGAGACTCTAGAAAGAATGCAGAGAAAAGCAGCCAAGATGATTAGGGGACTGGAGGCTAAAACATACGATGAATGGTTACAGGAACTAGGCATGGCTAGTCTAGTGAAGAGGAGGACTAGGGAAGACATGATAGCAGTGTTCCAATATTTAAGGGGCTGCCACAGAGAGGAGTTGGTCAAGCTATTTTCCAAAGCACCTGAAGGCCAAACAAGGAATAATGGATGGAAAATGAACGAGAGGTTCAACCTGGAAATAAGGAGAAATTTTCTGACAGTGAGAGCAATGAGCCAATGGAACAGCTTGCCTTCAGATGTTGTGGGAGCTTCATCACTGCAAGCTTTCAAGAGACTGGACTGCCATTTGTCAGAAATGGTGTAGGGTTTCCTCCTTGGGTGGAGGGTTGGACTAGATGACATACAAAGTCCCTTCCAATTCTGTTATCTGTTAACAGGCTTTCCTTTGTTCTTTACTTTTCTTGTAAATTCTTCTCAGATTCTCTGGAACATATCATGAACATATGTCTATAGGATAGAATTTCCTTTCTCTTTCCCTCCCTTCCATTCTGTTTGGTGAAAGATATTCTTGGTCAGGCTTTTGAAATAGGCATTTAGATGAGCTCTGTTGATGATGTGATTTTATTTTGGGGTTTTGATATAAATTTATGATAATTTTTAATCTTTGTATACCACCCAAGTCACTGCAATGAAATAGGCAGTTCTTTAAGATAAATAAATTCACTGATTCAGTTCACTAATATATAGGCAAAGTGTATCTCTGCAGTGAATATGGAATGCATCATTATGTTTCCACAATATCTCAATTTCTTTAGCTGCATGCCAATTCATGAATAGAGTCAATGTTCCCACTTCAAAAATGTTATTAATACATTAATTTTACCAAATATAAATTCTGCAATACTTAATTAAAGGTCCAGTTTCTCCCTCAATGTCTTCTAGTGTAATTGGGAAGCTTGCCTTCTGTTTCTGGTCCTGACCTTTAAACAATATTCTTGCTAAGATTCAGTCAAGACCCTGCCTGACTTTCAGAAGGCATAAAGATCTACATATTTTTTTCAAGCCTTGAGTTTTGGAATGATGTCACTTGTTGGATGAATTGTTTTTCAGCACTTAATTGTTTATATGTTATTTTTATATTGTTTTATGGTGTACTTCAATTATATATACTAATCTGAGTTATATGCTCAATAGAATGGCTATATAAATCAAATACATCAATTAGATAAATATTCCAGTCTTCCTGCTTGTTTTTAGAACCTAACAATGAAAATGACATGCTTCCAATAATTCTGCATTGATATACTAATAGCAAATAATAATCAATGTAGATATCATTAAGGTACTTAAAATTTCAGTGCTGCTAGTAAAAGTAGTAAAAAGTAAAAGTAAAACTAGTAAAAGTAGCCCAAGCTATTCTTGATGATTTATCTGATTATTGCCTGATGTAGGATTTTGAAGTCCTACTATGGCTATATTGCCAACCTCATCTGTTACTGAGATGAAAACATACAATTCAATATTTACTTTTTCAATAGGATTGTTTTATTATTATTTTATCAAGTGGCACATTATTTTAACATCGGGCACATAAACTAAGATGCTGGGATAAAGAATATGTTATCTGCAGTTATTTTAAGACACATAAATTTACTCAAATCTGCTCACTAAATAGAGATGAATTTATTAAGGCAGAATGTTTCTGGAAAATCTGCCTAGCATTATTTGTCAGATATCACTGGTAATCTGTATTTCCTTCATTTGGGATCATCATTGGTAACCCTCCTATCTTTTGCCATTGCCTCTTTCATCTTATTATTGCACAAATCTATCAAAGAGAATAATTATTATTTCACAGTTTCTTTTATTGGTACCCCAAGAAGCCCTCCTCTAAGAATGACAGCTTTCTCATTCAAAGAATTTTTATTTTAAAAAAGCAAGGTCTCTATGATTATTATTATTAGTTCAATTTATATGCCGCCTTTCTCCAGAGACTCAGGGCGGCTTACAATGCATTTTTAAAAAATCATTATAAAAACATTTAAAAATTAAAACATTAAAACCCATTCACACCATTCATGGCCGGATCTCACAAGATTGCAACAGCGAGATCAACGGCCCCAGGCCTGCCGGAAAAGCCAGGTCTTCACCGCTTTTCGGAAGGCCAATAGGGTGGGAGTGGTCCAGACCTCAGAAGGTAACTGGTTCCAGAGAGATGGGGCAGCCACAGAGAAGGCCCTCCCCTGCGGGCCCACCAGCCGGCATTGTTTAGCTGATGGGACCCAGAGGAGAGCAACTCTGTGGGATCTTACCGATCACTGGGAGCTATGTGGTAGAAGGCAGTCTCGAAGATAACCTGGCCCTGAGCCATGTAGGGCTTTAAAGGTAATAACCAACATCTTGAATTGTGTCCGGAGACCAATAGGGAGCCAGTGCAGCTCGCGGGGAATTGGTGTAATGTGGGTGTATCTAGGTGCACCCACGATAGCTTGCGCGGCTGCATTCTGGACCAACTAGTCTCCGAACACTTTTCAAGGGTAGCCCCATGTAGAGCGTGTTGCAATAATCTAACCATGAGGTGACAAGGGCATAAGTGACTGTGAGGAAAGCCTCCCGATCCAAGTAGAGTCACAATTGGTGCACCAGGCGAACTTGTGCAAAGGTCCCCCTGGCCGCAGCTGTCAGATGTTGCTCTAATCTTAGCTGTGAATCTAGGAGGATATCCAAATTGCGAGCCCGTTCTGAGGGGGACAATTTCTCTCCCTCCCCCCCGCCCCAGAACCAAGGATGGACAATCAACAGTGTCTTTAGGAGGCAATAACCACAGCCACTCGGTCTTGTCTGGGTTAAGTCTGAGCCTGTTGACTCCCATCCAGACCTTCACAGCCTCCAGGCACCGGCACATCACATCCACTGCATCACTGAATTGACGCGGGGTAGAGATATACAGCTGGGTATCATCAGCATACTGTTGATATCTCATCCCGTATCATCGGATGATCTCACCCAGCAGCTTCATGTAGCTCTTAAATAGGAGGGGAGAGAGGACCGAGCCCTGGGGCACCCTGCAAATGAGGGACCTAGGGTCGACCTCTGTCCTCTTACCAACACTGACTATGACCGACCAGAGAAATAGGAGGAGAACCACCGTAACACGGTGCCTCCCACTCCCAACTCCCAACTCCCTTAGTCGTCCCAGAAGGATACCATGGTCAATGGTATCAAAAGCCACTGAGAGGTCAAGTAGCACCAAGATGGAGGAGTGACCCCCATATCGGGCTCGCCAGAGTTCATCCATCAGTGTGACCAAAGCAGTTTCCGTGGTGTAGCCAGGCCTGAAGCCAGACTGAAAAGGGTCCAGATAATCAGTTTCATCCAATGACCGCAGGAGCTGAAGTGCCACCACTTTCTCTACAACCTTTCCCACAAAGGGTAGGTTGGAGACTGGACGAAAGTTCTTTAATTCTGCTGGATCCAGGGAAGGCTTCTTGAGGAGGGGCTTACGACCGCTCCCTTCAATGGTTGCGAGAAGGACTCCTCCCTCAAGGATGGCAATGATGGCTTGTTTGTTCAACTACCAGTGACTATATGGATATATCCATGTAGCTTTCTTGGCAATTATACAGAAGAAGTTTGCCTGGACCTTCTTTCAGAATTTTTTTTTCTACTTCCCAATTTAGCCTAAAGCTGTGGAGTTTCCTAATGGTCTCCCATTCAAGCAGTAACAAAAGTCTGATCTCACTTATCTAGATGCTATCATTTGTTACCTGACAGGAGACCCAAACAATATCAATTTCCTTCTGTAATCTTTCCATGATTTTCATTGCTTTTTTTATGCTGCTTCTGTTAAAACTGCAGTATCATTTATACTGGTAGACAAGAGGATCCTAATGAAAGTGAATTGTCCATACCAGCAATTTTCTCTTTCCATGGAAGAGAAAACTATTGAACAAAAAAATTCGGGATGATTTAGGGTCCTCGAGAATCACTACATATCTAAATAGCAAATAAAAACACTTTGGATACGCAGATCAGAAAAATATGGGATTCAAAGTAAATTCATTTACTTTGTCCATCATACCGTACTGAGGGGGACATGAGGGTTATATCCTTCGCGTAGCTTCCCTCTCCCATTCCTCACAACCAACACCTGCCTTGTTCTCTTCTCCCAATAAAGTTCGCCTTCTTCCGCTTCTTCAGTGTTTAGGCTTTGTTGCTAGGTGAGGGCGCGCTGCGGTGGGAGCAGCTATGCTTCCGTATCCTGGCTGAGGAATTCTGGGAATTAAAGTTCACACATCTTTCTCAACACGGTACTGTACAGACTGCCGATGACGTAGGTAGTGCGGCCGCTTCCTCCATTCTAAAAGCCGAGAGCTCAAGAGTGGTTTATGCGGAGGTACGTTGTCCAGGAGGTTAGTGGTGGGTCCGTCCACCACGGTTCTCATCAGACGTTCGCCTCTCAGCGTCTTTAGAATTAAAGTGTTCGGTAATCCGGCGCTCAATATGTCTACTGGGTCAAAACGTATAATTAGAAACATGGGTTAGGGACGCTTCCGATGTTGCTGGGAATAGAATTGCAAGGTTTTCTTTGCTTGCAAACTTACTAGGCAGCTGGAAATTCAACAGAATTCCAAGTTTATGCCAAATAAAACAATTTGCAAAACTTCACTCCGTTATGGAGTTGTACTGTAAAAATACAAGAGAATCCGGACAAAAAGCGATGGCTTTCCTAAAGGAAGGACACCAAGAAGAAAGACTTAATTTCTAGTGTTAAACAAAGGGCTTCTTCAGAGTTACATTTAATCTTAATTTCCACTTTTGTTTTCAACCTCTATTCACCCGTCTGTTTTAAAAGAGGCCCGCAAGTCAGAAAGCTAAGGGTTGACGGCGTTCATTCAGGGTTTGGTTGGCTATTTCCATTGCATGTAGCCCAGACATACAGACAAAGATATATTTCAGTTCCTTGAAGAATCAAAAGCTTACAACACTGATTTATCAAAGGTTGCATTTATTTTAAGAATTGTAATCTGCAATAAATTTTGATGTGCTGGCAATTGCGTAGGGAAGGTGTTTTCAGTCATTTGGAAATTGGATCATGATTTAAACAAAATGCTTTTTCTGAAACTACCTGTGAAAAAACATGGGTGGAGTGGTGTTGGAATCAACTAGACTTGACTATATTACAAAGGCGGGAAGTTTGTGATTAGTATATATGTAGCACCTGAATTTTATTAATTTATATTCTGCCTTTGTTATTTATACACATAACTCAAGATGGCAAACATCCAACACATTTTCCTCTTCCTATTTTGCTCACAACTCTGTGAGGTGAATTGGGCTGAGAAAGAATGATTAATCCAAGATCACTCAGCTGGCTGTCATGGCTAAGGTGGGACTTGAAGTTATGATCTTTTGTTTTCTCACCTGGTACCTTAACTTCTAGGCCAAATTGGCTCACAATGTAAGGCATCATTCTTCCTCACTTCCAATTAAAATGGCCTCAACCACTTTTCCAGCAGAGCTCCTTTTGGATGATGCTCCCTTGAGATTGCTATATGTTTTTTTTCCCCAAGGACAAGGATGGATATATCTTTAAGTAAAAATTAAATAGTAAAAAAAAAAAATCTGCAGTGTTGCAGATAATCTAAGTCATTAAATTGAGGACTGTCTATATTGCATTTCTCCATCATTATAGTTTAACATGAAGCACATATATGACTACTTGGCAGCCTAAGCAGACAGGTTTCTGTTCCAATGAATTTATGAAGTAAAATGTAATGTGGGGTAAATAGAGGAGGGATATGAAGAGTTTATATTTAACCTTACTACAATAGAATATGGGAACTACTATTTATGGCATATGGCAGTAGACAACACTAGCTTCCCAAAGTAATTCTAAAAACTGATGTCATAATATTTTGCTTATGGAATAAAAAGCCATGGAAATTGCTTGTACCAGGAGCTTTAGATCAAAGTATTTTTTTTCTGGTGATTGATACATACAATAAACTCTCAGTTTAACATCTAATGAAGGGAAGGAGTGTCTGTTAAACCCAAATGTCTGTTAAAGGAGAATGACTAGGGAAATCAGGAAGTCCTGAAGATCTGGGATTGCCACAAACCCAGACACTGCTAAACATGCTTGAGGAAGCATCTTTATTTCTAGCCTGAAGCCCTAGCTTCCTAATAGCCTCATGAAATTTTGCATAAAGATGGTTGCCAAAACAGTTTTGCAGTGGTAATGGGAACAGAAAGGACTCTGACTCTGTTGGGCTCATTTTGATGTAATTAGAAGTGTGATTTTTTTGAAGCTCAGTAGGTTACTCCAAATGAATACATTTCAGTTGGCTTTATCCTTACAGCAACAAGTCCATCATGCATGTGAATTTTAGTCACTAATACAATTGCTTTCTCATGGTGTTCAAATACTTTTAACTGCAGTATCAAATAATTAATCAATGTTGCCCAATTAATTTCACACCTTGTGCTTTTTCTTTGAAATATTTTTTTTCTTTTACAGGGGCACTCCAGCTAATAAGAATGGGCATTCATGGCCTAATGAGTTATGTAGGAGAACATAGTGAGTTCTTTGTTGATCTGCAGCTGAGAAACACAGATGTAATAATTGATGGAAATAATTTGTATCATCGTCTTTATTTTGATTCAAATCTGGATATCCGGCATGGTGGGGATTATGATTCTTTTACAGATATCACATGTCAGTTTTTTCAGTCATTGGCTGTGTGCCACATAAAGCCATATGTTGTGCTGGATGGAGGTAATGATGCATCTGATAAAAAATTTGCAACTTTAAAGGAACGAGCTCAGGAAAAGATCCAGGCGGCCCATTCACTTTCTCATGGTGGTGGTGGAAGTGTATTGCCTTTGCTTGTCAGAGAGGTCTTCAAGCAGATTCTAACTGAACTACAAGTGCCTTTTGTACAGTCATTTTCAGAGGCAGACAGGGATATTGTATCTCTAGCCAATCACTTGAGTTGCCCTGTGTTAACTTTAGATAGTGATTTTTTCATTTTTGACCTCCAATCAGGCTATTGTCCTCTAAATTATTTTCAGTGGAGAAATCTTTGTAAATGTATAGACTCAAAAGAATGCTACATCCCAACACGGTGTTTCTCATTAGAAAGATTTTGTAGACATTTTAGCAATATGAACAAAACCCTGCTGCCTCTATTTGCAGTAATGAGTGGCAATGACTACATAAATCTGCCAACTATGGAAGTGTTCTTTAGTAAAATACAGCTTCCTATAGAGAAATCCCGGCAGAAGAGAAAAAAGCATGACCGCATTCAGGGATTGCTGAACTGGTTATCTCATTTTGCTGATCTTTCTGAAGCAATGGAAAATGTATTGAAGTATTTTAAAAAGCATGAAAAAGAAGACATACGACAGCTTCTCTCTTCTTTCATGGGAGAATATGAACCATCTAATGTCAACCTCAAAGATTTTTTCCAGAGTGGTATGTATGAATCTGAGGAAATGAAGAAATTAAAATTACCACAGTGGATTGCAACACACTTAATTAAAGGACATCTAGCACCATTTGTTAGTGATGCTCTTATATTAAGAAGAACAATCCTTCCTGTTCAGGTGGAGAATATGCAGAGAAATAGTGCTCATTCCATAGCTCTGCCAATTAGACAAGCTATCTATTGGTTACTGTTGAACATTTCACCAAGTTCCCTTAGTCCCTCTTTGAACAAACAAACAACTTCATTTCCTCCTGTCTTCTATGAATTTGATAGACTCCAAAAATCACTCAAGAAATCATCTGTTTGTGTAGCAGAATTGGCACAGAAATTTCCAGATGGTCAGTTGGCTACATTAAATGAGGTAAATACTCAAAATGATGTACTTAAACATTTCCAATACAGAAAACATATGAAACATACTGGGCAGATTGATAACTATCACTTTTGAAATCATTTTTTAAAGTTAGATTTGACTTCTATAACTGAAGATACATATTGAAAAGCATGAACAATCCTGCTGATATTTAATGATGTTGATGCTTAATGCCCTGAGAGATAGCAAGCAGTTCTCTTGACTCCAATTCTTTTTTTCTATCTATGGCTAGCAAAATAATATACATTTATGCTTTTCATATATATTACACAACTTTTCAGAATCCCTTCTACATTGAAGAAGCTAGGAAAAAATATTTGCCATGGTTGCAGAACATATCTTAGTGTAAAATTTGGAATGCTCTTGCAAAAATTTCTATCACTGACTTCTAAAAAGAGACATGTACTGTAATTAATGGATATATTAAATAAATGATATAATCAAGAATGTTTCAGTAACCCGCGAGAAAGGCTTTCCATTAAAACTTTGTTTTCTGGATTTCTCTAAATAGTTTTCTTATAAATCCTTGACTGCAAAGGAAATTCTATCACAAAATTTATAAAGAGATATCTGTGATAGTATTTTGCAATAAAAAAGAAAAAATATTGTGGGACATCAAAGACTAAAGCTTTATTAAAGTAGATCTCAATACATTTAATCAGAAGTACAGAGTGAATTGAATACGGAGAGAAGAACTCTGTGGTTCAGCAGATAGGGTATACAAAGACAATTGTTTTGGGGGAGATTACAGAAATGAAAATTTTCAATAAAAATATTTAACAGTTTTTGCACTACATTATTTTTGCCATTTTTTTGGTACCAAAACTTTATGGGAGTCCAGCATTCCATAAATGCCAATGAATCTATTCTGTGACTTTTATTGTCCTGAGAAATAAGTATATTTACATTTTTTAAAGGAAGTAATGGGAAGATCGAAACAGTGACTTTGAAAATAATTTGTGATTGATATCTATCAAAATTTGCAAAATTTATTCAGAAGTCCCCTTTAATTATTGCTGATAACTGAAGAATGCAGCAGAATTCCTTATGGGATATGAATGACATAAAAGAGCAATATTTGGGGTGGGGGAAGGGATTGAGAGTAATTTACTAAGGTAGAATGTTTATTATTATTAATAATTTTCTCAACTCCCCAAAATAAGCGAAGTGGAAGAACTAATCATATACAAGTATTAATATTTCTGTAAAGAATCTCACTTTGAATTTGTAGATCCACTGAATAAAATTATAAAAAGTTTAAAATTAAAATTACTTAGGAAACAGTATTTTTCAAGAAAGCTTTATCATTTATTTGTAGACACCCATCGCAGAGCGCCTTCTATTTTTTTTCAAGACATTCAGAGTATCAGCCTGTATCCTTGAACCAGTTCCTTGTTTGCTGCAGCTCCCTATGGCTGCAATCTGTTACTGGACCCAGTTTTCAGAACCCAAAGTGACACTACGGCACATCAAGGCTTTACTTCTTGGAGTAACATTTGGAGAATTAGATAAGATGTTGCACATTTCAGGTAGGTATAGAGAGGATCAGGTTTAGTTGACACATGGATTTTTCCAGCTATTTCAGCCAAAGGCAATAGTTCATTTGGTTCAATTTTGTTGGTATCTGATATATTTTAAGTAAAATTATGAAATGCATGTCAACAGGTTTTGTATTATGTAAGCAACTTCATATATATTTTAAGTAAAATTATGAAATGCATGTCAACAGGTTTTGTATTATGTAAGCAACTTCATATTAAAATACTTCATAAGAAGTTGGGCAAAACATTCAGTGTTATAAATATCCAGTCCAACTTTTCCTAAGTGGTTACTGTTTCAGAAATTATAAATTATTCTTCCAAGTAATAGTGGAATTTTTACTGCTCCTGTTTTTGTTTTACTGCTCCTGTTTTTGTTTTTAATCATGCTCAGATTACACCGCGGAGCATGAAGGAGCTTTCTTTCTGATCCAGATTAGTCAATCCTATTTCAGGATATCCAATAGTGTGGGCTAATCATGTGAGACATTGGTAACAATGTGGTATGGTGAGGAATTGCAGGCTAGAAGCCACCTGACTAAAAGAAATGTTTTTACTTACTCTCCAAATAAAAATATGGAAATCATTATAGAAATTTAACATCTAATATTTAAAGCTCATGTAAGAATACTGAAGAATTTGATATTTGTATTATGCATCTCATTAGAATTGTATTCCTCCTGGAATATAACTGATGAAGCTTCCAGGATAGGAAACAAAACGTCTTTTTCCTCAAAAATCAGTCCAGTTGCTTTAAAAAAAAAAACATTTGATACAACCATAAAAGATGTAAATTTGTGAAATTAAAAGGAAGGGAGATGATATATCCCATAAATGAAAGTCTGATCTGCAATTGAGTTGATGACATGCATATTTATTTAATTTTTGTATCATGGTTCTTAGTCCATGTGTGCATTAATATCTGTGTGCATGTTGCCTACTTAACAGAAGTAGTAGAAAAGAGAAAAAGTCATCAATACTGTATGAGGGAAAGAAAAATACAATTATTTAAAGTAAGGCAACTACAGCTTCGGTATAGGAAGAGTATAGTATAGCAAATGGATACTTTTCACAGTCTCCCTGGGAAAAACTGTTTTGAGAAGGGATTTTAAAGATGGTAATTATAGGATGTTAAATAAGCTGTTCATGAAAAAAATAAGGATGGGCTATGATTTTGATATTCTAAAAATTTAGAAACTTGGTATCCATTCTTACTTAGTATGCATTCAATGAAAATAAAATCATTCAGGGTTCAGGAAAATTTTTTCTTTCATATCTAGATCCTGAAACACCACATGCTGAGGTCAATAAAATTGTACATGACCAGTTCTTAAAATGGAAAGAAAAGAAATCCCCAAAAGATTATTTGGAATTAGATGTTGCACACACTTTCTGCCAATGGCAGTGCTGCCTGCAAGCAGGATTGTATCTCAACCAGCTGCTTTGTAGACCTCTCCCTGAACCAGATCTTACACGGTAGGTATCCCCAAGACGTCAAATTTGTATGTGTTTATTCTAAAGGATGCTCCTCTAATTTCAATACAATATTAGGATGTGCATATAAAAATGTTATTCAGAGGTTCAGACTTTTTTCAAAAGTATAGTTGTAATTCATCAAATTGATTGCACATTTGTGGTATTGTACTGTTTCTGTACTTTTCAGGCAGGTAAGGGGTGTTGGATTAACAACTTCTAGTAGCAACAGTATTTTCTACGATCACAAAGCCAAAAATGCTATTATATAAAGCTAAATTTTTTCAGTAGCAAATTTGAAGAAAACAGTATAAATAATTGAATGAAAAATAGAATATACAACTACTATGGAGTCCTTGGTGCTCTCTGAGCTTGTTTGTTTGTTTGTTTGTTTGCTTGCAGATGTTTCATTACTTGACTAAGTAACATCATCAGTTTCCCTGATGTCAGATAATGAAATGTTTGCAAGCAAAAATGCAAATAAGCTCAGAGAGTGCCAATGACTCCACAGTTCAACCCTGAGCAATAGATATTTGCTTCTATTTTCTAGAACCACTACTTGCCAACAGTATCACTTTCTGAATTGTATATATCGCTAGTAGCATTTGTTAAGCATATCAGTTTAGCTTTTTCTTTTTTCAAAGATTGTTCATAGTTTGCTTTTGGGAAATCCATGATAATGAACGTATTTTTAAACAACCTATTTTCTTTCTAATCTTTTATAATTCCATTATGAGCAACTGTTCAAGATTCAACATACAAGCATGCTTCCACATCTTATTTACAGATTTGCATTAAAAATTTCAGAATGTCAAGAGTAAATGAAGCACAATGGTTTGCTTCAGTTCAAATAGTTGGCCATACCCCATTCTGATGCCATGGTTTAATTTTTCAATTCCAGACAGGTTTTTATAGTGCTTATTTCTTACCTAGATGTAATGGAATTTTCTCATAGAAATTTTAAAAAGTATGGGAGATAAGTCTCATTCTAAAATGTAGAATAATCCTCATAAGAACAATATCTTTAGTTCTTTTTTTGAAACCTGACCTAAAAACAGGTCACTCTATTACCCATCTCCCAATGATTGATGCTACTGAATAGGGATGTTCAATACTCATTGATTTGAGATACATATCTAAAATTCTGTTTTCATTTTGTCATTATGGGATACTGAGTGTAGATTAATGAGAAAAAAAATGAATTTCAACAACTGTAGAATCAGGCTGCAGCATAACAAAGTTGAAAAAAGTGGAGGTTTTTTGTTTTGCTTTAATTTATATGCCGCCCTTCTCCGGAGACTCAGGGAGGCTTACAATGCGTTAAGCAATAGCCTTCATACTTTTGTATATTTATACAAAGTCAGTTTATTGCCCCCACAATCTGGGTCCTCATTTTACCTACCTTTGAAAGGATGGAAGGCTGAGTCAACCTTGAGCCTGGTGAGATTCGAACTTGCAGTAATTGCAAGCAGCAGATGTTAATTACAGTGCTTTAGTCCACTGTACCATAGGCTCTTGGTACTAAATACTTTGTGAATGCACTGTAGCATTTTCCCAAACAAGATTTCCCAAACAAGGTTTTAATTATAGTGTTTATATAAAACCCAGTTAGGGCACAGCAAGTTCGAAAACCTTGGAAAGTTAAAACCAGCAAACCTAGCTAATTCTGGAATGGAACACCAATAGGAAATTCCAGAACTGGAAGATCGATTTGGAAAGTGTGAAACATCTCAGAAAAAAACGGTAGCAAGCCACTTCCATATTATTACATAAAACAAAGCTTTAGTTCAGCTTAATGCAAGGGAGTTTACTTCTAAGACAAATCTGAAAAGGCGTTCCTTTGATTGATTGATTGGTTGGTTGGTTGGTTGGTTGATTTGGTGTGGTTTTTAACACATAGCTTCAAGTTCTCCTATACAAAACCACTTTTCTTTTTCAACTTTGACAGGCTTTATAATGGGACCCTTGTCCATAGGTTGTATCATCAGCTTAAATCCAGTTCCACACCAGAGAACCTCCTCAGTACATACCCAAAGATTTACAAACTTTACTGCAGCATGGTACAGATAATCAAAGATTCAACACCATCAGGTTTCTTTCAGAAGAAATCAAAATCCCAAAGGAAAAAGAATAAGAAAATTGTTAATAAATTGCCAGAGACACAAGAAAGAACCATGATGGACACTCTATCTTTCTGTAGTACTAACAGATTTGCAACATTGGCAATAGAGAACTGAAAGCTCAGTATTCCAGATTGGTTGTTGATATTTATCTATCTTTCGGTTTGAGAAGTTATTTCTCAAAAGAATTAAATAAGTAATGTTATTACAATGGGTTTATTCCTTTGGTAATTAAGGAACATGAAAAATTGCTGAATTGTTTCTAATAATGGATAAATTTTCAGAAGATATTTAAAAAACGAATCTTACTTTGGAAATGTTTTTTGAAATATATTTCAAAGATGCCTACCTTTGCCATCTTTTTCATTGTTTTGTTGTATGTGTTTATACATTTAAGGAAATTATTTACCTTATTTATGTTGTAATACCGTTAGGGTTGCCAGGTCTGCTTCCAAAAAATAGCGGACAAGCGGGGGGGGGGGGGTTAAGTAGTAAAAAAATAAAAAAAAATTACAATTAAATTATATATTTTCTTACAAACATTTTAACACTTATTAAAATAATCACTTCAAAACTTTACTTAAAATTCAAAACATCAAATATATTATAATAATATGTAAAATATTAAATTACATTTTACTTTGCTGTCGTGTATTTTTTATTTGACTGCGCAGCTTTGATCAATTCTTTGTGTTTAAGGAATAATTCTTTAATTTCAATACAATGTTGAGAAATATTAAAAAATATACAAAATTCACTTTGAACTGATGGTACAAGCAGTTGGTTACGTTCGTCAGTCCACAAATTTCCCATGACGCTGAAAATTCGTTCAACGTTTGCATTTGATACCGGAATTGATGCACAATACTGGAACAGTATTCAGTAAACTCGGAGCTGGCTCTTTCTTGAAAAAGTATGTCCACTTATCAAGGGATGAATCGCCCTGCAGATGAACATAAACTTCTTCTAAGGCAGAAATTTCATCGAAGAAAGTGTTGGGTGGAAGTTCTTCTCGCCATGGTGATAATCAGATATTCGTCATTTCTTCTAAAGTTGGAGGATTATTGCGATCAATTAGATTGAAACAACTTAGCGTCTCATATACTGAATCGGTGAAATTATACCACTTTTCTAGGTACGCAATGACTCTTTGATACACGTTGATGGCTTCTTTCTTGAACTTTTGCACGGCATTCTCAGGCAAATGTTTTTTACGTAAGGCAAATAAAACTTTCATTCCAAAAAATTGCTCATTGTATTTTTTTTGCAAAGAATCACGCAGCTTACACATGATAATGTGAAGATCATATGCAAGAATTTTCTTGTTTCCAGCTTCAGTAGGGTGTCTTGCATTATTGACATGAAGAAGTGCGTGAAATATAAATACAATTCTGAAATTGTTGGTTCATCATCCTTTGCGAGTTCATTTTCCTGATCCGAAATAAGGTTCCAGATAACCTTGTGGCACTCATCAGATCCAAGAGAAATAAAATACGATTTTAGAGGTCTCCAGTTTAAAAGAAGTTTTTCGACCGCTTTAAACAAACTTAACCAACGTGTTGGAACATGGTGCAAAACTTCATGGAATTTTGACTCGCAAAACTTACGTACCATTTCATCATAAAGCTTCTGAATAAAAAAAATGTCCACTAATTTGTGAAAAAAAAATAGTGAACATAATGTGAAAAAAGTGGACTGTCCACTCAAATAGTGGACACCTGGCAACCCTAAATACCGTAGATATTTTTATTTTTATTTTTTTTTGCTCTACATATTTTGCAAATCTTACTGAATTGTAAGGCTGCAATGGGATATATTAATGAAGAAATAGAGAAAAAAGCAGAACCATTGCAAAAGAGACACCTTAGCCCAGGAATGTACGGAAAATTGAGGAAGAGATTGAAACTGTCATAATCACATTAGGTATAAATTGATCTGAAGAATTATTTTAACAGGCTCTCAAGACTCTGTTACATTACCCTACTAGCAGTAAAGCTCTTTTCAGAAATCCAAATGATACTTGTTTTCTGAATTTCATAGATTAAAAAATAAATAAATAAAATATAGAAGTCTGCTTTTTAAAGGCTTTTTAAAAAAGATCAGAAATCTGAGTATCAAAAGACTGACGTGCAAGAAAGACATGGTTTAAAATTCTTCTGCTGAATTAAAGAAAAATGTACAGTAATAGTGGTTTCTATCAGCCATTCAAGGTTAATCAGGAAACAAACTCCACAAGCAGTAGTGGAACTCTGCTTGCCAGATAAAATAACAAACTTGTGCCATGGACTGAATTTCTCTTTTTATACATAGAAAATTAAAGTAAGGTAATTCTAAATTGCTTGTTCACCTTCTCTCTTTGGGGGCTAAGCTGCTATTTATGTAACCCTCTTGCATTTCCCCTTCAAGTTTATATTAATAGTCCTGTACTGTGTCTCTGTAAAGTCAGATAATAAATTTATCTCTGTGATGAAAAGAAGTATATCTTTGAGTACAACCTACCAGATAACATTGATGTGAGTACGCTATGGTGTTTGTGTCCTACATTTGGGCCTCCCAAGATATTTGATTGGATGCTGTTAGAATAGAATGTGGAATGGATAGATTTTTGGCCTACAAATCTTTAATTTGAAAGACAGGGAGTAGAGGGACAATTGAAAAGCATGAGTTAGTAACTTTGATTAAATAAAACATTTAGATTACCATGGAAGTAAAAAACAATTTTGTGATCCAGTTCTACATAAAATACAATCACATATTTTAAGAAAAGCAAACATTTACTTGAAAATTGCAATATAGACTTTTCAATCACAAAAAGAAAGAAAAGACAGTGATCTGACAGTTACATCCTGTGCAAAAAAGGATCAGGATACAAAAAACCCATGGTACACAATGCAGAATAATGGAAATAAATACAGGAGCTGAAAAATGACACTCTTGTAATTCAGTCTAGGTAATTCAATCTAGATCAGGGCTGTCAAACTTGCGACCCAAGGGCTGGATGCACCATGCGCTGGCCATGCCCATTCCTGGTTGAGTGAAGGGAGGAAAAGTCCTGATATATCACATAACGCTGCAAGTTTGACCCCCTGATCTAGATAAATGGAATGCCTCAAATATTTCCATTATCAAATCCCATCACCTTCACCATAAAACTTATTTCATCTAATTTATATTTCTATAGACATACTTCTGTTAACAAAAAAAGGTGTGCCAAACTCTTGACATAGGTTTCTTTTTAAAGTAGTCTTTCTCATATTACAAAGTTCCATCAATCTGGAAAGTAAAATTACCTTTGAGGGGAAAAAAAATTACCAAAGTTGCATAATTTATTACTCCCTATCTGGAAGTTTAGAATTAAACAGTCTTTAATTTTACCAAAGTTCATTATCTTTCAGGGAAAAGGGTTTGTCAAAAGCCCTTTATATTGTTTCTCCCTTGTACATAAACAGCAGTTTCTAGTTACGCAAAGAATGCAATGTGCATCATACGTCGAGAAACGATCCCAAGTGTTGTGATCTACCATGCTTTTGGGTCTTCTCCCTGCTTTTTTCAACCTTCTTTATGATCTCTGATATTATACACACGGAAGAGGTAAGGCCCAGAAGAAACTGCAAATCTAAAAATAAATGAAAACACGGCTTTACAATTCAGTTACAAGAAAGAAGCTATAGTTTGCCTACTTTTTAAATAACTAAAAGGACTGATATAAGATTGGGTTTTTAATTTTAAAGGGTTACAATTTTTTCTTTAGGACTACTGAAAAGTTCAAAATTATTTTTAATGTACATTAAATTGTTTTGGACAATTGATCCTTTCAACAGTTTTCCAAAAAATCTCTGTGTCCTGAGTCTAATAACAGAAGTTGGTCAGAGGAACAGATCAATGCTGTTCTCAGAGCAAGCTAATTTTAATGAAGTACCACAAGCTCATTTTGCTGAACAGTCCAAAGAATAGAAGGGACCTCCTGGTTTCCCATTTGTGAACATGCAAGAGTGCTCAGTTTGCATGCTTTATTCACTCCTATCCTTCAGACCCTAATTCGAAATAAATCATAATTTGTTATTTTTTAGCTGGGCAATCTGCCTACAAATTGTAAAAGAAAAACTGCGACATGAAGAAAGAAGAATGGATAAAGCTGTTCCCTCACTTTTAATTCATGTAATGCTGAATGTGCAAGAAGAAAGAGGAAGAAATAACTTCAGGGAACAAATTTAGTAAGAGAGAAACGGAAAAAATATAATTAAAAAGGATAAAAAACAAGATTCTAATGCAAAATATGCTGCTTTATATACAGTTTTATACATGCTTGAATGCCTTACTAATTCAACACATCAAAACTAAAAAAATTCATTCTAAGAACAAAACATGGCTATCCTTCCTTACCTGTAATGCTTAGACTTTCTGTCTGAAAAACTTTCTGAAGTGGAGGGGAATAGATTACCAGCAACTGACCCATTATAGAGCCAAGAACTGCATAACAGAACATCTTGTTGCTGCAAAGTCCAATCTCAAACACCGATTTAGTCTGGAAGTTAAAAAAAAAATCCAGTTATTTATTCTATAGTTAATTGAAAGCAAAATTCTTAGTAAACTAAATATAACAAAATATTTTTTCTATAAACTCCATAGAAATGTGAGCTAACTATGGTCTTAAACATACTACTGATGATTTATGTATCTTAAGTTTTTCCAAAAATATTATATAAAATTTTCAAATCCGATGAACACATACCTGAGATCTAGAACTCAATGCATTAAACATATCAAAAAATACAAAGCAAGTGAAAGTCATTGTTGTATCTCTGGGTGTTATAACATTGTCTCGTAGCTGCCAAAAAATAAAAAAACAAAAATCTTAATTTATAAATTTATAAAGTTCAATAATAGTTTATGAAAACATTTTGAATGTAACTTTTCCTCAGGATTTGAAATATTAGTATCATAAAGAATATTTAACTTTGGGGACTTCCCACTTGGTTGATTTGGGAGCGTAATGCTACTACTAATAATAACTAACAATAATAATATGGTGATGATTATGATGATTATATCCATTTACTTCAAGTGCTTTGTGCAGCTCTGTTACAAGAACAATACTGATTTTCAGGCTTTCATCCTAAATTGTGCACCTGCTCAATCCAGAAAGTGCTACTCCATCCAGAGTCAAAGATAAAGAATCAGCTGATTGTGTGTGTGTGTGTGTGTGTGTGTGTGTGTGTTGTGTGTGTGTGTGTGAAAATAGCCACTCTGTCTTGCCAGGATCCTTCCCATTCAGACCATTAAGAGCTTTTAGCACTGCTAGCATCATCACTGCATCTGTTAGTATAGCTAACAATTCAGAATCTCCTTTATAAGTCAACAAAGTATTCCAAGTTTGTTTGACTAATCCCCCATTTTTTTTATTTCCATTTTCCCCCATTTTGTTTTACCTATTCTCAGACTGAAACCCAAACATCTACATAGAGTGTAGAGTTTTGTTTTGTGTTGTTATAATACACGATAACTATTTCTTTCAACATCATGTAATTATTTTAAAAAAAATAGGCTATGAATCTATAGAATCTCAAAAAATTGCATGCTGGTCTTTTTCAGGCCATATCCTTTTTTTAAAAAAAATCTGTCTTTAGTTAAAAATGAACTTCAGGAAAATTTAATTATCAAATGTACCAGCTGGCATTCGAATCTGATAGTTGTTATTTGAAGAGCTGCTAGAAGTTCCTTTTTTTAGAAGTTAATTATATATTTTTTGTATGACACGGTCCCATATTATTTCAATACTAATTTTGAAAATCTTTCTTCCCTTAGAAAACCAATATGCCATGGACATTTAAGGCTGTTATTCAAAAATCCAGAATCTATAGCTTTCTTGCTTGCACAGAACGTATTATATGGTTCTTTAAATCTCAGTCATAACCTATATAGTTTTATATTTGTATTTCCTGTCATGTAAACAATATTGCAAGTAAATGTTAGCATTACAAACAGATGGTTCCTACCTCTCTCCAGAAGACAAATAGTGTTCCACATACAATAATTACAGATGAAACTAGAATTTTACTAATCAGATTTTTGGTCAAAATGCTGTCCTTAACATTTCGTGGAGGTTTTCGGATAACATCTTTATCTACAGGCTCAACACCAAGACTAAAAATTAAGAAAGCAAATAATTTTATAGAAGTTTACCTTTATTAATATCACATAAATCATTTAATAATAAATTTGATATAAACTTAAGTGTAGGTGTATATTTGTCAATCAACTAATCAAAATAGGCTGAATCCAGACTAGATTAGTCACTGGAATAAATGAAATGTGAATGTGACTATTCTGGCTTTAATCCAATTAACTATCTGATACTATCTGCAAAATTTATTACCTATGCAATCTCACCATGTCAGTATTTTTTTAATACTGTACTGTACTGTACAGTACAGTATTTTTTTAATACTGTACTGTAATTTAGTAATTTTCTTCAAATGTCCTGCAGTCTACTTGTGATATTAAAAAGCAGTCTTTTGAAAATGATACAGAAATAAATATTTAATGCAACAATTTTGAAGTGCTAAACCAAAAATTTGATATAACTGCCTTTTGAATGGAGGAAATTGTAAAAAGTTCAACTACAGACTGCAAATTATATAAGAAATTTTTAAAAATGCATTAGCTTTAGTTATGCAACCCTGATACATTAAAAAAAGTACCTTTGAGCTGGAGGTCCATCCATGATAATATTGATCCATAAGATCTGCATAGCATTGAGAGGATTAGGAAAGTTCATTAATGTGGCCAATGAGATTAATGTCAATGCAGCTATACTCCTGTTGAAAAAAGTTATTTTAAACAGCTGTCAGCATAGCCAAAAAAAGGGAGGATGAGGGAGAATGTAGAACAGAAAAATATAATATAAATGAATAGCAAATAAATGTACATACACAATAAAAATCCAGTTGCTTTAAAGCAGATCACGTAAGTAGGGATGTTATTTGGGGCAATATAAATTATAGCTTTCGCATTCAGCAATTCAGAATTTACAGTATCCTTTGCTACTGAAATAGAGCCAATGATCGTTTTGTCTACTTGATAAGAATATGCATTTTGTAACAATTGAAATAAACTGGACTTTTTCATGTTTATAAGAAATCAAGGTTCCAGTGACAAAATATTCATGAACATTTAGTTTACGTATTAATATAGTGTTGAAACCTGTACTAATTTGAATATATGTATCAAATTTGAAGGCAATTCCAAACTTGGATATACTTCCAAATCTCTCCCAAAGCATTTTGATACATTATAAAATACACCGTGTTTTCCAACCTTGGCAACCTCTACTGTAAATGCATAGACTTTGACCTGCTTCCTGTGCAATTCTGAGAATTAAGTCCATATATCTGGAAGTTGCCAAAGTTGGGAAACAATATTATATAATTT